ATATATAATGGGGTTTCATATGGATTCAGAGGTTTATTTTTGCAGTCAGTTAAGAATTAGGACTTTATGTGGCATATTATATTGATGTTTAGTTTCAGATTCTTAGTCATCTGAGAATACTAGCACACTAGGGTACATTTAAATATGTAAGTATATAACCATATATGTATTTCTAATACAAATAAAAGCAACCCGTTTCAAAATCTAACTTGTTTTGACCTGTTTATACTGTATACCCTTTATACTTTTCTCTGTGAAGGAAGTGAAACTTCCTTGTGTTTCATGGTTTTATTTCAGGAGTTTCTCTGTAGTCTGTGTTTGCAAATAATGCGGAGAAATGTTGAGAGTCAAAAGAACCTACGGCACAAACTGCTTTTATTTAAATTTGCATAAACAGTTCTGGATTTTACTTGCTAAATTAGAGGAATTTCTACACTTCCAATATATCAAGTGGCCTGTTAACTGATTACTTCTATAATAGTTTTCAGAGGCTATACTACTGTCACACCAATTTTCACTTGTTTAAATAGCACTTGAGTGTTCTTAGTCCCTATGCTGTTACAGAGTCTAGTGTTTAACACACACTGGGCGCGTCTACATGAGGCATTTACTGTGGAGCTGACTAATTAGCTCCACAGTCAAATGTCACCACCTACACTTGTGGCCCTGTTAGGTTGCAGAAGACTAATAAATGCTGCCACAGGGTAGTCCAGCTAGACACAAGTATAACCCTGTGGCAGTGTTGTTTCATGTGCAGTTAGTTTGATACAGTAAATCACCTAAAGAACAATAATGAAGTTACCCTCCAAAAGCTTCATGGCATACAGAGAAAAAAGCACAGGACTAGAGTCAGAAGCTCATGCTTCCTAGCTTTATCACCCAGTGGACATGTGTGCACACTGACGATATGTAGGGGGTGCACGTGCACCACCTGAGCGTGGCGGTGCACCCCCTATGAAAAGGCGCCACCTCCACTGTTGGCCTCCCCTGCCACGAACACCATTGTCACCCCTGCCACTGACACCGCTGGCAGCGTCTGCAGGTGGTTGCCGACCCCTAGTGATGGGACTGGCTGGGGCACGAGAGTGCTTCAGTGTGGGGCTAGCCAGCAGGGAGCCCCCACACTGAAGCGCCCTTATGCCCCAGCCAGCCCTTCCATAGCACACAGAGCTTGGTCAGAGCAGCCCGGGCTGGCAGGAGAGCTGAGGGTCAGCCTGTCAACCCAGAGCTGCTCCAGTGGGGCTCCACATGCTTCAGAGTGATTGGCTGAGGCACGAGGATGCGTCAGTTCAGGGACTGCCTGCCAGCTAGCCACACACTGAAGCATGCTTGTACCTCAGCCATACCTCCCCCCACACATGGAGGCTGGTCAGACCATCCATGGGCTGGCAGGCTGACTTCCTCAATATGCTCCGGAGTATTTTCATTAATTTTCATTAATTCCATGTGTAGATATGCCCACTGTCGTCTTAACCCCCCATCTGGGGTAGGTCGTCCATAAAATGGGTGACTTACTGCCTACAGAGGAGCAACAATATTTTATCTCCCTTGCTGTCATTAAGGTACACTTGGTTTGATTTGAGAATGGGGTAGTCACAGTTCCCACTCATAGGTATTCCCCATGTGTGCTATTTTTGTTGCTATTAAAGAAATGTGGTTGTATGTGAGAAAGATATATATGGTAGGTGGAATTGGTGAGAGAGGAGCTGAGCAACTGGGTTAAAAAGGCTTGTTATGATGAGATATTGAACATGAATGTTGAGGGTGGCAGAAAGCACATTTCTGTAAGATTCAGCAGTACAGAGGAGACTTAGTGCTGCTTTTGTCAAGCAGCTAGATTTCCTCACATTCTCAGCTTAAGCACAGGGCAGCAGAGGCCAAAATACTGCTATTGATCCTGAGGCTGATAGGATGGTTCATTCTTGTTTTAAATTAGAGCAAGTTTAAGACAGCTCTAATTTGTGCCAGGGACTGAACTTTTCTCCAGTTTTCCCAATGTAGTGGGAGATGGAGAGATGTCATACACTGACACTTTTACCTCCCACAAATATTTCTCAAGTGCACTGAGCTCAAATCCTCAGCACTGATTCCTTTGTTTTCATTCTTTTAAAAAATGAAGCTCCTATTTCTTAAGGTTGTGAATCACACTGAAACCAACACTATGTCATCTTTCTAAGTGCAAATGGAAGAAATCATGTGACTCCTCTGCTAAACCCAAGCAGAGAGACAACTGCAAGTTCCTAGTAAGTTTTGCTTCTGTTGGTCGCAATTTTCTGGCAAGCATTGAGTTTTGCCAGTTTCATCCTGTGGCTGGGAAAGGAATGAGCACCATCAGAAACAGGCACTCTGCTTATTCAACAGGAATGCCATAAATGGGAACTGGGGGAGCAGTAGAATAGCGGTTACATTCCTCACCCCCCTTCCCCCAAGCAATCCTACAGCAGGTAAAAGCTGGCTTGAAAGGTGGAGAAGGATTTTGAGAAGGCATCTTTGCCACCCCTTTGCCAAGCATCTGAGATTCTTTCGAGAGTAATGACGCTTTGCTTCCCTGGTAGGGGCCCCTCAGTCATCTATCTAATCTATCCCTGCCTGGAATGTTTAACCCCATTGCTAATAGGTGTTTGCTTGATGCTTCCTGTCCCGATTGTGTGTACAAGAGCCCTTGTAGATGCAACCACAACCTTTCACCTAACGTCGGATAATACGTATTCATGAATCAGCACATCTATTTCAACAAAAATGTGAAAGCTCATATAATCTTTGTGATTAATCTGTGAAACCTTGTGTTCTCTGTGTGAATCCAGTAGCTTTCCAAATTTCCACCACAAAATAGAACTGTGTATTTTTGCATCGAGGTTTTTCTAGCAAAATTCTGATCCTCTTTTAAAGTTAACAGCTGCCAGTGGACTAATTTGCATCCGTTGTTTTTTTTAACCCCATTTTGCTAAACATCTGCTCGAGATGGCTATAAAAATACTTAATCTATTTATACATCCTCAGCTAGTGTTGAACATCTAATTAGTACCTCAGATCAGATTTATGGTTCACAGTCAGTCAATTCTTTTTTATTTGATCTAGTTGCAGCTTTTCATCACTCCTAGCTTTTACTATTGCTGATAACACTTATGTAACACCTTTCATCCATAGAGCTCAAAACACTTTACAAAGCTGACTAAATATTACTATCCACATATTAAATCTGTGGGAACTGAAATAAGAGATGTTAAGTGATTTATCAAGCTTGTGCAGTAACTGGGCAAGTCTACATGAGATGCTGTACTGCGCATTAGACTAATCTAATGCTCAGTAAAGCATCTACATGTGCACAGCAATTACTGCATGGTAGATTAATTTCAAGCACTGTTTGCTAATACATACAGATACAGGTACTACAAAATGGCAAATTGCTCCTGGTCAGCCCAGGCAGCAGGGGACCAAAGCTGCTCTAAGCCCCAAGTCTTAGGGGGCAGAGGGGGCTGTTCTGGCTCCAGGGGCAGCTTCATTCCAGCCCCCTGGGGTTTGGGGCCAGCCCCAATATCTCCACTGCACAGGGGGAGCTGCCTCCAGAGCCAGGAGAGCTCCCCCACCCCCCAGGGCTCAGGGCCAGCCCTGATCTCTCTGTGCAGCTGGAAGAGAGCTGCCTTAAGAACTAGGACAGCTCCCCCTGCCCTCCAGGGCACTGGACCAGCCCCAGTCCCCTTGCATGGCTGGGAGGGAGCTGTCCTCAGAGCCAAGACACCTCTCCCTGCACCCCAAGGCTCAGGGCCAGCCCTGATCTCCCCATGTGCCTGGGAGAGAACTCCCCCCCAGAGCCAGAACAGCTCCTCCCTCCCCTCCCCTGGAGCCCAGGCCTGATCCCCATGCCCCCTACCAACCCAGGGCTTCCCCCAGAGCCCCTTGCCAGCCTGGGGCTGGCATCTGGAGGAGCCCGGAGCTCCCCATGACTGCTGCAAGGGGGCAGAACACAGCAGGAGCAGCCCTGGACTAGGCTGCTCCTGTTGGGCTCAGTTTGCTTCTGACATGGGCACACATGCAAACGTACCCTAAAGTGCCTGAATTTTCTGCACAGAAAATTCAGGCACATTAATTGTACATGTAGACATGTCCAGTGAGTGATAAAGCTAGGAGAGAACCCCTGAGCTCCTGACTCTAGCCCTGTGCTTTCTTCTCTGTATGCCATGAAGCTTTTGCCATGTGCTTTAGGTGATTTACTGTATCAGACTAACTGTTCTTTAAATCAAGGGGAATTGTGCATTTCCCCAGATATGAGAATGAGAGAGCAACAAAAAAGTTCTTATTAAAAAGCAGATACAGTATTTTCATTCCTTAATATGTCATTTACTTATGGAAAGTTGTATCTAAATTAGAAAAGCAGAATTAAAATGGAGTGCTGGAAAGTGCCAGGTAAGCTTTGAGATGATCCAGTAAAATATTCCAACAATCATTTGCATCAGACTGTGCAGGAAGAGCCAGAATGATCCTGATTGGATAGTTCAGGAGTCTGCAGTAGGGTCATTGCTGGTGACTGCAGAACATATTGAGAAAAAAGATAGAGTAAACCCCAAAACTGAAATGAAATTTGTTAAAAATAGAATATATGGTAAAACAAGAAAACACAGGCAGAGAAAGGCTATAGACCTCAGCTCTAATTCCACAACCCTTTTGTGAGTACAAGAAGCCCTTGCTATCCGTGGGTTCGGCATTTGTGGTTTCAAATATTTGCAAATGCCAAACCCGCATCTTAAATGCACTTACAGGAGCTCCTCAGGAGCTCTGTGCTTGCCGCTGCCAGGCTCCCGCCGCTGCTGCCAGGCTCCCACCGTCACCAGCGCAGCTGTGCCCCCCCACCAGCCGCCGGGGGCACTGCATTCATGATGTTCATGAACACAGTGCCGTATTCGCAGATTTCACCATTCACGGGGATCTCCAGAACGGATCCCGCACGAGTGGTGAGGGTCACCTGTAGTCCTTAATCTGCAAGGAATCTCATTGGGTCACTCATCTAAGGATTACTTGAGCATATGAGTTATGAGTCTAAGGCCATAATTTTAGCTTTGTAGTGATATTAATATTCCTCTGATAAGCAATCTCTCTCTCTGTTTTTTAAGAAATAAACAAGAAAAGAAAATGTTTCCCCCTTTTATTTTCTTTCCAGAAACACTGTGATAAGCAAAAGGCCCATTTGCGTATCCGTTCTAAGCCTTCCCTCTTTCAGCATGTGGGATTTCATTCATCTTTGGCTGGAAAAATACAGAACTTAAAAGTAAGACTTCTTAGAGTTTTTGTCCTCCTATTTGTGAAGTATTTGAGTGAATTCTAACTTGTTTTAGTTCAAAGTGAGAAACATTGTATATTTGATAATAAATCTTATGCATAGGAGTTACTAATTCATGGAGGACAGAAAGGAAGAGACTATATTAATTAGTCATCTAAATTGCAGGAAGAATGTAATACCAATTTGGATATCCAACAGTATCTTCCATGAGTGGAGTAGTGGCATCAGTAGTAGTAGTAGCAATTATTGCCATAGAATCAAGGAATGCTAGTCATTGACCCAGGATGCCATTATGCTGGGCAATGTACCAGACCCAGACTGACATTCTGTGGATTTTTTTCTGTCAGATGTTTTTAAGCATCAGAGCAAAGGGAAGTTTTAATGAGATATCTGAAGAAGAGCAATAAAATGGTTGTAAATATTCACAGGGAGCTCACCTCCAAGTGTAAGGAAAAGCTTAAAAGAAAGCACTAAAGTGCTGTTTTGAAAATGTAACGAGTGGACAATTAGAATTGGGGGCTTATCTCTCAATCTCAAATGAAAGTTGAGAAAATAGGTAGAGGCTGTGAAGAGCCTTGACATTCAAAATGCAACAGGACAGAAATGAAATAATAGCTTTAGCTGAATAGATGATTAGGAAAAGCTTTATTTTTAAAAAAAGGATGCAGAAGGAATCTACAAATTTAGACAGCTTTGATATGAAGACATAAAGGACTAAGTCACACATGATGCCCAAGTTATGGGTCTGAGTGACGGGCAGGATGGTGGTAGTGTCCATATTGATGAGAGAGAGGTCGGGAGTAGAGGGGATTAACTTTGCTGAGCCTGTTTTAATTATGTTGAAATTATAAGTGTGACTACTTGTCCAGAAAATGTCAGACGAGCTAAAACAGATTAAGCTTAGACAGACGGACATGCCTGGAAAAGAGGTAGACTTTCCAGTTGTTAGCATAAAGAAGGTATTTGAATTTGTGTTTGTAGATAATCTTAGCCAGAGATAAGTATAAAGGGAGACATGAAGTACCTAAGGCTCCTATGGGAAACCTCCTCTGAGAAAAATAAAGGAGGGAAATTAAAAGAACTTTCTAGAGAGTACACTTGGAAAGCAGAAGGGATTAGAGAGGTTGGAGAGGACAAGGTCATGGAAACAAAGAGAAAATAAGGAAGAAGGATGACAAAAAAGGAGCACCGTTGACTGTGTCAAAGGTCAAGGAGGATGAGACTTGAGTATGGATTCTGCCGTTTGGATAGGAAAAAGTCCTTACAAACTTTTAGAGTACAGGCAGTCCTCGACTTAATATGTTTCAAGTTACAATGAACGGCACTTACAGCGTTTATAAATTGACACCCGGTTTTGACTTTCTGACGTCAGTTTTGACTTTACGACGCTTGATCCAAAGCCATGCCATGTCAGCAAGCAAGTTTGCTGCATCACCCATCTCCCTGGAGAACATCTGTCCAAACTTCCTTGGACAGCAGACAAGACTCCAGAAAAACCTGCAGGCAAGACTCTTGAGAAGATTCCAGCCAAGAGCCCTTCAAAAAGTCCAGCAAAATCACCTCAAAGAAGTTCTTCCAAATCAATATGATTGCTATTTACAATATAAATACATTAATGTAGCTATATTACTCATCTATAATTGATTGAGTACAAAATTCTGGGATATTTTTGTGAAAATAGGGTACCGGGCCCTGGTTTAGGACCAATCCCCCATTTATAACATTGTTCCTGTGGGAAAATTGGTTCCAAGTTATGACACTTCAACTTATGATGCGGTTGTCAGGAACCAGTTGTGTCGGAAGCCTGAGGACTGCCTGTAGTTTCAGTTTAGAAGAGAGGAACGCCACACAAAGATAAGTGGTGCATTCATCAAGCAAGGAGAGGAAAGGAAGAAGGGATAGTTCAGTAGTTGGAGTGACAAGTGAGTTTTTCAGTTCAGTGTCCTAGTACTCTTTCACTTAAACATAAGAAAAACTGCCGCCTCTGAAAAGTCTTATTTGTTAGGCTTAGGTAACCTTAGATCATTAGTACCCAAACTTAGATACCTTGGCTTGATTCTCATTCTACCCAAGAATATTTTCTTGAGCTTCATGGGAAAATGGATGCCCTCTGGCACCCTTTCATCCTTGGATGTTGCTCACTCTTTATATTATCCAGTATTAGTAGTGCAGCACAAAGCAGATATCCACCTGTATGGTAAAGATGGCACTCACAAAACCAGTAGCTCCCATAGTTTTATAACTTATTGTTTAGTCTCTGATTTCATTCATATTCACCATTTAAAACATAAGTATCACATCTTTACAGGAAAATAATATAGACATTATTTACTTTAGATGACTGCCTTATTTGAAAAATTCTTTGAGATCTAAGGCATTTGAACCTTGAATTTTGTCTTCATATGTAATATTAAATCTTTTTTGTATCTGACAGGATAAAGACTTTGGCAAAAGTGCACTACATAAAGCACATGTTAACCCCCCTGCAAAAGTGACTACTAGCCTAAAAGTATACCAGCACTATACTTTAGAAACGGCTTATGAAGGAAAGGACTTTTTCTGGGCATTTGCTCCAGTGGCTGGAGACTATATCCTCTTCAGCTTTTTAGAACCATTGACAGTAGAAGGGTAAGTACTAAATGCTGTTGAAGGCTTCTTGCACCCTATTTTGGAATTGATTGAATCCTATCAAAATACCAGTTCTCTATCACTTACATCAGCCACAAACTCTTTGAATAATGTATTTGTAGTCAACTGCATTCTTCTCTCCATTAACTCCCTAAAACATTCTTTCTTTAGGGCTTATGAATTCCACACCTTTTATAAAAAACACATAAATTATATAATCGATTTGGGAAAGGAGAAGGACAATTTCCATGATTTTGGTTTGTAGGCTGCACTCTAGATCATATGGATACTTACTAGCAGACCTACCCAAAAAGATATCAGTATGAAGACAATGGGGAAATAATGAAAACCACATGACTAAATAATGACAGATATGTCACTAATACTAGTTTTTGTATTGATTTGTTTATTCATTACTACCACCATTGCACTATTTAGTTTATACTTCCTTTAGAAGACAATCGGGATTTATAAGCTTTAAGAGCTTTCCTTTAGGGAAGGACTTCAAGGAAGGTAGCAGAATATGCGCAGGATTTCTAAGCTAATGTTGGTGTAAGTAATCTGTCTGACTTAAATATAGTTGCTGCCGCATAATACCACTGTGAGATCAGAACTGGGCACATAGTATTGTGACTACCTTGTGAAACACCTGTTTGATTATATTTATAATAACGCATAGTTATATTTAAAATGTATATAGTTTCAATATTTAGCACATTAAGATTAATAAATATATGCTAATTTTATACCCTAAAACAGTGGTGTCAAACTCATCTGGCCGAGTAACCTGAGCCAGTCCATGGGCTGGATCAGGCCAATGGCCGTAGAGACCCATTGCCTCTTCACCCCAGTCCAGATTCAGTCCTCACTCTGGGATCTGCACTGCATGCAGTGTACATCCGGGGGTGGCTGGGGCAGGTGCCACACTACATGCAGTGTGCTACAAGCAGCATCCACAGCAGCTGGTCCAGGACTGTGCTTCATGCAGCACCTGCCCCAGCCAGTTCAGGACTGGTGTTGCATGCAGCGCTTGTGGTTCCCCTGTGCAATTCAGGTCCCGTATTGACTGGAGCAGGCACCACATGCAGCACAGTACCTGGGGCAGCCAGAACAGGCGTTTCATGTGGTGTGGGTCCTGGCCCTGCCCATGAAACTCCTCTGGGTCCCTTGCACCTCCATGATTGGGGGTTGAGTGGGAAGACACAGGCTTCTACCCAGTGCTGCTCCACTACTCCAGTGTTGCCAACTTTTGAGATTTTATTGTAAGCCTGGTGTTTTTTGGATTTTTTTCTTAAGGCCCAGCTTTTGGATTAATATGAAAGTGAGAATTTCAAATTGTTTCTTCTTTGTTTCCCCTTAGCCCTATGCATACATAGAAAGAAATTACAATGTGAACCTTAAAGACCCCAGGATCTGAAATAAAATATATATGTATATATTTTTTGTCCACGATCCTGGGATCTTTAAGGTTCACATTTTAATTTCATGTACATTTTTTTATGTATGTATGTATGCAGAGCCATCTCTAGGGGTGTCTGTGGCTCAGGGCATATCAGCCTGTGCGGGGCCTGTATGAGGGGGTGGGGGGTGGTGAGCAGCCAGAGTGCGAAACCAGCAGCGCACAGCGACCACAAGGAGTGGTGGCGCCCTCAGAGGGGCCTGTATGGTGCTGTCCATGGTGCCTCCCAAAGCGCGGAGTGCAGGACCTGTGATAGTCACCTCGATTCACCCTCCCCGCCAAGGGGTGGCTCTGTATGTATGTATGTATTAAGCCCATAGGTGTTTTTGTCTGATGTGCTTTCTGAATGCTTCAAGTGAAAACACTATCATTTCACACAATATATAATTAACTATCTGAGTTAATTGTTTTAGCTTTTTATGGAACCAGAGGGCTGCCATGAGCAGGTGGTCTTGAAGCAACATTTCAACATGTCAGTAGTTTCAAAAAAAGTAAGCATCAATCCACTGTCTATGGCCTGTGCAAAGTGGCTAGTATTCGCTTCAGATTCGGATTTGGCCGATTCGGAGGACAGTGATTTGATTCAGTGATTCAAATCACTGTCCCGAATCTCACAGGCCCATGCCCACCCACTCTCCCTGCCCAGCAATGGCTCCCTGCCCACCCCAGCTCCCGGCGCTTTGAAAAAAAAAGCCCCACTCACTGGGTGCTGCTGGGCAGGGGGTGATTCCCGCTGCCCCCCACTGCCCCATGCTGCATGGGGGGCTCTTCCACAAGTCCCCCCCTGCTGTCCCAGCCCCTGCATGGCTGCCCT